CCAACATGGACATCGTGTGTGCGATCATTAAAGTAATTGTTGCGAGAGTTTTCCAGTGTTTCTCCCACTTTCATGATACCTACCGTTATTGCTTGAGTAACGATAAAATGTCTTAGAACTTTCGTATTCACCAAAATATGCACGATTACAACTTTTGTTTAATGATTTCGTTTCTGTTGCCATGTCTCGGACTTTCTCCACCACGCAGTGAATTGTGGGGGGGGGGACTGTGCGGGCATGTAGCAGCTAGAAGCAATATAGCCGCAAGTGTCTGTGAACATCGCAACAATATATTGCCCCGACATAAAAACCAAGTGACGAAGGCGTGTTTGAATAATATGAACGGAGACAGTTTCTGGCTCAGCATTAGTCATAAATGGAATAATCCGCTGAAAGCCCGCGGGCAATCGTCTGACCCGTGAAATGGCTCTTCGCTGAGCTGCAATAGATGACGCAAGTTAAGAAAACACTCCGAACACGATCGAAATAACAGCAATCGGACGCTTTGTGGGTTAGTGAAAATTGCACCTTGTCACATGGATAATCTGTGCCCACCGGCGGGCTCGTTTGTAAGCTGCGTTGCGCGAACACAGAGCGATGTTAAATATCGGGGGATCCTGACACGAGACGAATGCGTACCGGCGTGTGCGCAGGTTCCACTCTGGTAGGCGATTGAGACACCAGGATGCTATCGCACTAGAGCATGAATTTTGGCGAGGACCACCTTTCCAACGCTTGGTGTGGCAATGAGTATAGAAGCCTATGCATCGATGACTGCGGCTGAGCAAGGCAGGCGTATACATATTCTGTGAGGTCAGGAGGCGTTGATGGTCACAATGAAATCGATACAATTAACACGCATTTTAACATGGCGTCATGACTGCATGCCCATTTATGTCTAAAAACTCATTTTCTATTTACAGAGTGCATTAGAAAAAATCGAATGACATTACTTGACAAATATAAAAATGCACGTAAGCATGAACGGGCGCACTCGCCCCACGCACGCACACACGCAGGCGCGTGTTCAGTTTGTGTAGACCCACTCATGCAGCTTCAAAATGGGGTTCGTAATTCTTTATAACAACGCACCACCTTCCCTGCAGGTGCCTTATCACACGATAGTCGTGTACGTGGCCGCAAAAAAAATAGTGGCCGATGCAAAGCAAACAACGACACGCACAAGACTTTCGGCAAGACAGTAGGTGTTTCATTACCTACTAAAACAGCTTACACACGAACAGTGCATGCATGCACGTCGTCACCTATTACCTGAACGATAGACTTAAATTTGTGTATATACCACAAATTAGACAAATATTCGACAAAAGGGTGGCCAAACTAGCGGTGTAGACAATCTTCAACGCGCGTAAGCCGGTACAAAACTTTTGCTTTTCACAACATACATTCAGAAATGCGTTTTCTCATGGACGCCCTCTTATGTTTGCCGAGTCTGTGAAAGCACCGGCGTATGATCACAGTTCAGGTCATCTAGCTATGTAGGCTGCGAGTCAAAGAACTCTCGAAAGTTCAAAGTGAGACTTAAAATGCAGGTCTTGCGCCGCCAACTTTAACCCACCTCCCATTCAGCTAAAAAGTTTCGCTAAGCGTTAAGACCGTATATATATATATATATATATATATATAATGTGTGTGTGTGTGTGTGTGTGTGTGTGTGTGTGTGTGTGTGTGTGTGTGTGTGTGTGTGTGTGTGTGTGTGTGTGTGTGTGTGTGTGTGTGTGTGTGTGTGTAATAATCTATGTAGTTATGCGGTTGTATTGTATTAAACGGATATAAATACTTGTCTAAAGCGCATCTAACATATATTGTGTCTCCGAATTATAACACAGCCATACGCTAATATGTGCGACTTCTTATCAACCTCTCACCCGACTTAGCTATGTAATATCGACATTAATCTCTCCCTCTAGCTCGACCCGAACTATGAATCTTGTATATATAGCCCTATACCCTCCTTTCTGTGTAAACATAGGAGCCGTGGTATAACAACACATAGTAGCGCTGTTTCGGCACATAACGCATCTACTGTTGTCTGATGACGTTAGTGCTATATAGCAGGCATGATATGGAGCTTGCTCGTCGCATATACGCGCGCAATACCGAGTAAATATACGGGTCAAAGTGCATCACTCACACTCGTACATCACCGGCAAGAATGAGACGCGGCACAAACGCATATCTGTTGTTACGCAGTGCGGTTGTGATGCTCGTTCAAACCAGTTCCCAGTTACGGGCGGCGACGTTTGCTGGTTAGAAGAACGCGTAGAGACAGCGAGTTTGCTCCCAATCGACCGGTCGACTCACCAGAACAGCGTGTGAGAATAACAACAAACCCATATTGCTACAAACTCTATCAAGCACAAAGTTATGAATCTAGAACAGAAACATATGAGCACACGCGTACTCAGCAGCATACGAAGAACGCATAAATTATGTGTTCTTGCACTCGCTCAACATGTTTCCCACAATTTATGTGATTTTGATTATATCTTTGAGATCGCATAACGGCGGATGGTTTCAGCAACACGCTAAAAAAATAATCGTACTCTATAATATTTCCGCGAGGTTAATACGACGGGAGCAGGACAGAGAGGAAAATTCCCATTTACGGCGAGGTGGTCTACAGGCATTACGGGCGGGATTGCATAACTATCGGGCGGTCTGACAGTATTAGAAGATCAATCAGAGCGTAACGCTTCAACAATGCCGCCTATATCTGCCCCACGGATAGTGCTGGGCTCGCCAGGTGCTCCCCTGGCCTACTTTATCAGCTACGCACAATATATACATGTAGGTAGAAGTTACCATCAGGTGGCAGGGTCAAATAATTGTCCAGCATTAAAATTCGCATTAAAATTCATTTCGATGTGTAGGAATTTCAAGTTATGTGAAATCCCTCGTCTTTGATGTGCGACGCTGCTTATGAAGCGCGTAGGTAATAATATAGACCATAGATTATTAAGTAGAATAATCGAGCGAGCGCTTATGCGTATACGCAAATTGCGAGTGCCTCAGCTAGTGTGCATAGTCCAGCATCATAGACTGGCCAAATTCAGACATTTTATAGACACATGAAGTAGCTCTTCCATGCCGGTTATGTTGACATGTGACACGCAGTTGCACGGTTCAAGAGCGCTATTACGTTGTGGCAGAGTGGATTTTATCACACACGTGTGAACACGGAATAGTTCGTGCGGGGATGCGCGGCACACACGTTATTGCAGGCAGACGGGTTGTAATTTTAGATGCATGTCACGGTGACTGGCACCACGCTCACTGCTCTCACGCGAAACAATTACACCAATAAAACGTTTTAAGTTGTTCGCCGCCACCATTACGCGCACGCAGCGCTGGTGGAGCCTAGCTATGCACATACGCACATGCACGCACCGCTGTGTAACTAGTCGCGAGGTTGACTGCTTCCCACACCGGTAGAGAAGAGAAGATATCGCACGTGTGTGCTGTCGACCCCCGCAGACATGGAAGCGACCGACGCGCTACATGCTGTAACGTGCGGCCCAGCTGTCACTTACTGCCGGACCACACAGAACAAGTGACCTGACTAAACCCGCGGTGCAACCTCATAAAGAGGAGCCCGGCAGTGATTTTTATTGCTATTAGCTTTAACCCGCACACGCCCCAGGTATACATCGACTATAACTGTCCGGCTATATAAGGAAAGGTCCGCACGCGTGCATGAACTATATATATACGAGCTGCGCAAGCACTCAAAGTAAAATTAGACGCATGTTATACCCGTTCAACACGTTTAGACATACTAAACCGAGTGGCTCTTGCTACGTCAGCCATATTGTCGTGCGTTTCTGTGGCCGATTACGAATTCGGCTTTCAGTAATTCGTTCTAATCGTATTATATTTATAGATCGCACTATAGCTGCAAGGAATGTATTATGCTGAAAAGGTAATTAGTTTATGATATGAGCTGTAAATTCAATGTGAATACATAATATACATTATGAGAGCGGTATAAGGGTGATGATCGAGGGTCAAGATATGAGGGTGGGAAAATTAACCCTTCATGCGTAAACCTAAGACACAGAGGTCGTCCACCCGCATCAGTTGTATGTAGAATATAACTCGGCTTATTACAGCGATAAGCGCACCGCATTGTCATCGTAATTATGGGCTGTGTGAAGGAGCAACCATCTCACCATGCGACCTTCGTTAGGTGGTAACAAGCGAAATATGCGCTCGTCTGTGTGTAGAAGACGCGAGGGTACAGACAGAAGCGGGCAGGTTAAGTGCGACAAGCAGCACGGCTAAATAGGCGCTTGAACTCGCTGCTAATGCTGCGAGAATAGAAAAGCGCAGTGCAGTGCAGCGCTCATTCTTCGTTCAACCAGCGCAGCTTTTTACTCCGACCTTTACCGAGCATTCACGGCTCTTCTACCGAGCGAGCCAAGCGTGCCTATCGTAATATGATTGGCTCTTGAAGTTCAGTGACTTCGTCAGAATTTCTGAGAAATTCACGAGCAACATTGAGGTAAAATTGCTAGAGGCATACATCGGTAGATGATGTCTATGGGGTTAACACTGATGAGATAACGGGAGAGGGGGTCCATTCCCAATTTCCCGGTTAAAATAATACGAAATTTTCCTGATCCCGGTTAATTAAAATCGCTATTTCGGCTTTTCCGTGTTCCGGTTAACTTCTATTCCCAAATCACGAAAGATTTATCATGTATTTTCTGGTACCCAGATAATTACAATGATCCAATCCCGTGACCCGAAAATAATCGTTCCTCCTCAAAAGAATCATGGTAGCGTAAAGATGAGCCTGACAAGTTCATTTCTCACTTATAATTACGTTAATCGTGCATGTTTAGACGACCTTACTCCCTTGTGGAATATGGGAAAAATGCAAAAGAGGATTCACGATGTGGAGAATTTAGTTTTATCGCGATAGCGCAAGTTTGATGTGAAACAGAGAAACAGTAGTTAGCGAAGAGAGCACTCACCTGCGAGGAGGCTTGCTCCTGTTGTCGTCAGAATTGTCACACTTGTCAACTGGTCCTGAAAAATAAATGTAATAATAATGCATTAACATCTATTAATCACGTCGGTGATATGTTGCCGTCTAGATTGGAATCAACTCTGTCAACATAAATCTATTTGTCATGTTATTCATAATATGTACTATTACGCGTACATCGGGAATGTCGGAGTGTCGGAGTTAGTCATCAAACGCGAGATCACAAACGCTAATCATGATGATATGATCATGTCCATCTAAGACATCATTGTCTGCACCACATTGCGACGACAAGACATAGCATAAAGTTTAGGTGCAAAGTTCAAGTTTTGATGCGCAAGGTGCAAACTTTGTGACGTGTGCAGCATAGTGCAGATAGAAGACGTAATCATCGTATATATATATATTTATATATATACACATATATATATGTATATATATATATGTATATATATAGCCTATATATATATAT